CAATTGAGTTACCTTTTTTAGTCGTGCTTACCTGCAGGTGATTGTACGAAAAAAGAAAAAAAAATACCACCAATACATTGAAAGAAGTTGCGATTAACGAGCAAATCCATTAAGTTTGACAGTAGACTCTTTGATTGTTGCACTTAAAGTTCATGGCAGTAATTACTCGAGCTGAGTTGTTGCAAACGAATTCACATGACACACTGTTAATGAATTCTGTCCACGTTGACACGACACAAATTAGCGAAGGAAGAAGAATTAGTGTTATTTTAATTACTCTCGATCACCGTTCTCGACTATAATACATCACCGTCACTTCCTTTTGTCTGAACCTAATAATGGCTTCGATTTTGATAACTTTTGACTTGATAAGCAAGTTCGTGGTAGAATATTTTATATTACATTTACAAGAAGTAGGTAATAGTTTTTTTTTATGTTAGAGGGGGCAGACGAGCAGACGGGTCACCTGATGGAGAGTGACCATCGGGGCCCATGAACGTCTGCAACTCAGGAGTCACATACGCGTTGCCGGCTTTTTAGGAAGGAGTACGATCTTTTCTTAAAGGTTTTAAGGTCGTATCGGTCCGGAAATACCGCAGATGAAAATCCGTTCCACAGATTGGTTGTGCGGGGCAAAAATTATCTCGAAAAGCGCACAGTAGTGGAGCGCCAACTATCCAGGTAATAAGGATAAATTTTTTGCCATGTGGAGCGATGGTGGAAATTTGCGGCTGGTATTAGTCCGAACAATTCCTCGGAGCATTCTCCATGATATATGCGATAGAGAATGCAGAGTGAAGCTAGATCTCTACGTAACGCCAACGAATCGAGCCGGTCGCAAATCCCTTGGCTATCGACGATTCGAGTCGCTCTTCGTTGGATGCGGTCCAGAGGGAGAAGCTGTTACTGAGGTGCCTTATAGAGCGCCTTATAGAGCGCCTTATAGAGCGCCTTATAGAGTGCCTTATAGTGCGCCTTATAGAGCTGAAGGCGGTGGGCCGGAGTGAAATACTGCCTCGATCTGTTCAGCACACCGAGCTGCTTCGAGGCCAATTTGACCTTACCCTCTAAGTGACCCCGAAACTGAACTTCGCTCGATATGTCGATATTCTGACGCTGGTTGAGGCAGTTAGGGAGGTGCTCTCAAACTGAAGTGATACGACAAATGGTATCTTTTTTGCGGTGAACGCGCAAACCTGTGTCTTTTTTTGGGTTAAAATGGACTAGATTTCGTCGACCCCAATCTGCAACCTCCGCTAAGGAAGTTTCAATTTCAGACACAAGTTTGTTACGACTCTCGGTTACGTTTTCACGAGAAATGTTGGGGTGGCCGGTATAAAGGGCATCTCCTGTGCTATCATCTGCATAGCAATGGATGCTATTAGTTTGAACAAAACTTTAAAATTCCATTCTTTTCTTTTAATTTTTGTATCTGCAATCGACTAAGTCAAAATTTTGCTGTTTCGTCTTTTTTGTGTTTATTAAGAAGGGAATTTCTGAAATTCTCTCCCTTTGCCTTCGCATAATAGTGTCTGGCTTCTAGTCTTTTAGCATCCTTGCTTCAACTCTAGTACTTGCCATCTTTTTACTCTTATAGTGTCATTATTGGTGTGAATTAGATCTCTAGCGAGTTGGTTTGTGTAATTTTGCAGTCTCCTTATATTTGGTACAATATTTGTTGACCTCCTTGACTGTAGGCATTTCCATGTATCTCTACATTTCTAGCTAACCATGGTGAATTTGAAATTTACCTCAGTGCTATGTTTTAAAACTTTTGCAGGATTTCAAGAGCTGGATTCCATATATGTACATAAGGGTTTCATTCTGCATTTATAGACAAGCATGCTGTTGTTCAAAGAAAGTGGCGATTGTCGCCCGATCAGCCAGTAGAGTCTCTCAAGTTATAAATCCATTCCTTTCCTTTTTGTTTTTTTGTGATAAGCCCATGTAAATCTTCGATCCAAATATAGTCCCAGGTATCTTACACACTTTTCTGTGTTCAGTTGCTGACCTCGCAGTGTAACGGCTGAACAGTCTCCTTTACGGAGCGCGAAAGTCATTTTTACGGCTTGAGTGACATTCGGCTTTGTTCTCACTATTCTAACCACTAGTCTATTTCAATCAGGTGTGTTTATAGTATTGCTGATGCGACAGCCGGGTCTGTATCATCTGCGTATGTCGCTGCTACTACATCTGTATCGCTCGTTAGATCAGCTCTATAAAGTGAATACAGCACTGGCCCAAGCACGGAACCCTGTGGTACAGACGAACCCCCGTTCCGTCATACGACATAAGGGCGTCTGCCCTTATGTCATACAGGGAATACTTCTTCGCCGATTTTAACCTGAAATTTCCTGTCTTGAGGACCATATGATACGAATTGGGTAAAAGACTCTTTAGCTTGTATAGAAGGTCCATGTGCCAGACTATCAAATGCCTGCTGAATATCCAGGAAGACCGCAGCACAATATTCCTTCTGCTCTAAGGATTATCATATCTTGTTTACGATACGATGAACCTGTTCTACTGTGCTATGTTGCTCCCGGAACCCAAATTGATGATTCGGTATCATGGCTTCCTCTTTAAGAGTTGGCTTTAGTCTCCGCATTTAAATCTTTTTGAATAGCTTGGACAGCAATGGTAACAAACTAATTGGCCTGTAAGAGCTTGGATCCACAGATACTTTTCCAGGTTTAGAGGCATGCATATTTGAGAGATACGCTACAATTAAGGAAACTAATGTAATCTCTTTATGGCATTGCAAAATATGGTCAGAAAGACAAAAGGTTTTCTGGAAAAATGTTTTAGGACTTCGCCAGTGATCAAATACTGAAGCTTTTTTATTGCTTAGCATTCTAATTGATTTTTGTAATTCCCTTGGTGTTGCAAGTTTTATAGGTAGTGATAGGTTCTGTTCACTGCTAAGAAAGCATTTATTTATTTATTTAACTTTATGCACTATTGTACGTCGGCGGCCTTAATGCCCAGGGCATTCTCTTCCAGTCAACCTTCTACCTCCTGTTTAAAATTTCTCATTGTAGAAGTATTTCGTAAGAAGACTCGACTAAGGTGTTGAGCGAAGAGATCAGATTTCTTTTTAGGGGTTTTAGGGCCATGTTTCTGACTGTGCTCTCAGTGGTGGTACTGCTTGTTGAGGTCTCTTGAACTGTTTTGTGAGTTTTCATAAGGAATAATCATCACGCTTTTTTGCAGATAGACATGACAGTTTTTGTTGGAATGTGTTACTTCTTAATGTTAGCTATCATTTCCCTCAGTTCTGTAGCTACTTTCTCATACACTTTTTTATCATCCGTGTGTCTGCTCAGCTGCCAGACTCTTCTGAGTCTTCTTTTCATGGCAAGTTTCTCTCGTATTTGCAAAGGTATGTTTGTTGTTTTCCTAATAGCTTTCAAAGATGGTGTACTACACTAAGCAGCTTCCTCTATCAGATTTGTAATATAAAACGTTGCATCATCATGTCAGTTTTAGTTTGCAGCTTTACCTGCAATTTTGTTTTTTTAATTTCAATCATTACATTTAGCTCATTTTTGATTGGAATTAAGCCATTTATGTTCCATGTTCCAATGCGTATGGAAATCATTTTATCTTACTGATCAGTGTGGTTATGAGGTTTACTAGTGTACCCATTTGTTGTATTAGTAAATCTATGTTTAAAGCTTGTGTATTAATTATTTTAAGTAAAGAGTTTTCATATTCATTATGGGTTTGGTTACCAGTTTGATCTGATTGGGTTATATGGCTATTTTGAAAATCTGTTGTGTTATAGTTGTTTGAACTTAGGGGTTTGTTATTATTCTTTAAAGCTTCACTTTACGAATATGCATTTGCTGAGCTATAGTCAAACCGCCGTAAGCTTGGCCCTCCCGATGGTTTGCGGGACGTGGGGCGGGTTATGCGCTCGGCTATACATACGAGTACTAACTCGATATCTTCAGATTTATTTCTTTGAGATTTAATCTACACGCTGGAATAAAAATCGAATATATTGCCATGTATTATCATTTCAGTATTTATTGTAAGTTTTTATGAATAATTGTAAAATTTTAATACTTGTTTAATGATTTTAATAAGATCATCTTATCTTTATCCTGTAAAGCAAGCTTACGGCCGTTTGATCATAGACCTTGGTCGGATGTATTAGTAGCTTGGGCTCGGTTTGGTTTAATGACTTTATTTCTATTTTTCTTTAGTAACTTTTTGGCATACATTTCCGATATACTGATCACCTTTATAATTTGCAGGGTGGCAGCTTTTATAAGGTTACATTTAAAATTCTGACCAAATAATTTTGTTGCAAACGCTTATTGCAAGAAACAATATTCGAATTCGCGGCTCACAATATAGCATGTCGTATAATTTGATATGTTAAAACATTATAAAACAGTTTCTTTCCGTTTAAAATCACCAATATGTATATTTAATAATAAAGCATTGGAATTTTTAATATAGTTTGAAAACCTATAATTGGCTATAAAAAGGATATTATTGACGGTTGAAATTTGAGAACGAATTAAAAGGGAACGACTCTTAATATGATACTCAAATGAGGTGACGGCGGCACCGTTTAAGTGTATTTACGTGTCAACTCATCTACACAACGGCCTAAGAAACGTAAATTTTATTCGGCTCATTCAAATTTTAATTCAGTCTGGACCGTTATTTCAAAAATTATAAGGAAATTAAATACGTGGATGACTCATAAGGTATATAAATACTTTTATTCAAATATAAACTCCGTTAGATTGAGCGTTATTCTAGGAAAGTCAGTAAATGATAGATATAGTATTTGTAGAGACAAACACACACTTGGTTTGGCTATGAAATTACCCATGAAATACATATCTCAATACACATCATCTTTATGTTCATCCAGTTTAAATCTTTCAGCCATCAAATTCGTTTGTTCAAGAATCTTTTAAATTAACATTTCTTTATAAGTTTACTAGTTGCGATTTTCATAAGGTTACGAATTGGGTTTCATGATTATAGACGAATTGGGGTATGGAGAACGAGCAGGTGACAAGATAATGACTGGACATCTGGTTTTTCAAGCTAATGATTACATGTAGCATAGTGTTTAGTAGGCATTACTGTTAAATAAAAGATACAAGTTACAAAATATATATTAAAACAAGTAATTGATTTAATGTAATTTCATACTCAAATAAAATATGTATAGATGTGTCCTGGCCTAAAAATGTGCATCAAACTATCAAACATCACTACACTACAAATACATTGTAATATATAAACATTGCTTTGACTCTAGCGAAGGCCTATTAATAGTTAGTATATAATACAATTCTCGATAAATTAGGAGGAAACAAGCGAATACACTCAGGTTTGATAAACTCTGACAAACTTTGTAAAGTCTAAGTAAGTCTAAGTAAAAATGTAAGGATCACGATCGTAATTCCTAGTGCTCTGGTTCACAAGATATTATGTTACTTTTTTTATCACGACGTTAATGACTATTAAATAAATTCCAATAGACAAAGCACCAGCTATTTCAGTTTCAACAATTCTCACGCAGTTTATCTAAATAATGTAACGAACTGACTTATAGAGTTTAAAATACTTTCTAATTTACAGACAACCAGCCCCGGCTGCTTAGTCTAGATTTATAGCATTATTTTCGAAATCCAAGAGGTTATTATTGACTGGTCAGCCAAACATCTGATTTCCGGCCAAACAGTTATTCATCTCATTTGAAGTTGTTACATTTTGGTGAACCTTTACGATTCAAGTAATTTATGTCCTAGTCATTTACAATAGGGGAAGGATTTGGGTAATGAATATCACGTGCAAAGGTAAATCTAATAAAAATGAGAAGATATAAATGAGAGGTCTTCCTCTAAGTATACCTAGACTTACTAGCAATTAAAACATGTTAGAGGTTAAATGGAAGTTCAACCTGGAATGTAGATTAGAAAATAAATGGAAAAGGAAGAATCAACAGGATATAATGCTTAAAGAGGGATTTAAAGAGAACATAGAATTATAGACCGTCCGTCCATAGAATTATATCCGTGTGGTGATGGATTAAGAATACGGAATGTCACCACCCCTATTCATCCCGTGGATGTCGTAAGAGCCGACTAAGGGGGCAAACAACGCAGGACAACTGCACTGCAAAGAGAAGGAAAACTTGATACAAACCCTATACCAACCCGTCTGGCCAGCGTGGTATAGTAGGCCAAAACCTCCTTTCTAAGGAGAGGCCTTTGTCCAGCAGTGGAATGTTATAGGCTGTTGATGTTGATAGAATTATAGAAATAGAGATATATCGACGGCAGAAGGCGGAAATCTATAATCTATCCCTAAAATTCGCCTGAACCACTTATTAGTTAGAACAAATAAAAAAGAATGGTCAAGTCTCGTCTGACTACGAGAAAAAAATAAGAAAGATACAGCATTGAATTTTCTCTACTATATTACTGTTTAAAAAATACTGTAAATAGAGTGATAAACGTAACTTTGGAATATAGAGATAAAACAATAACACCAGTATTAAAGATATCCGAGGTTGAAAAGACGTCTGAATGCGTATAGGTTACCCTTTGACGGATCTTAAGCACAAACAACATTAAAATAGTTGATTATTTTTGTTACAATTAAATACTGAAATATATTAGTTGTGAGTTATTAATATTCTGAATACCAAATGTTTTAGTTTAAAAATCACGTGCGCTAGCACTGTCGAAATATGTCATATTATTATTTAATCCTGTCGTTTTAAGGTCATGCGTCTAAACACGTGACCTTAAAACAACAGGATTGGCTTAAAACTTCTAATTCCTCCATATCATTCTTGCCGTCATTGAGTCCTTGATACTCATTAACCATGACAATTATCGTAACAAGCTGAATCACAGGGTGTTTTGTATCTTAATCGACGAGCTGTCATTCCAATCTAGGCCCGTTTAGCGCATTATCGATTGTCGCTCAGCGGGGCGTACGACAAAAGAATTTCATTTTAAATAAATCGCGCGAGACCGCATCGCGCCGAGAAATTAGGCGCGGTATCCCCCGCCGTGAAAACTCATCGTAAATAAGTGTCACGGTCGTATTGGAACAGCGCTTCTCTGCGTTAATGCTTAAAAACACATTCTTGTTATACACTCGTTTAAGGATTTAATTACTTGCATCATTGATGGGAGCTCATCGCACGTCCCCCGTCGCCCGCTAGCTCTTTGCACGTGATCGTAAATCCTCTGTTCGTTAATGATATAAATGTTGTTTTGTAATGATTTCGCAGTTAATCTTGTTGACTATTTTCGGCAAATAATTTTGCCGATTTTAGTGAGTTTCGTATAATAGATTTTAACGTTTTCTTTTATGTTTTTTATGTTCACACCTTGTTATGATTTTCCGGGCATTGGTTATTTTATCCTTTTCTCTCTTATTGTGATTACCTTATAGCTTACCGTCCTTGGAGATCATTAGGTGTTAGTAAAATAGCATCACTACATCCTTAAAGTGTCTTTATGCTGAGCTAGTAACTATGTTTGACTCATGCAGCGGTACGTACGTAGAAATGTATGTAGAAATATTATTTGTGAGTTTTATTACTTTATTGTTTAATTTACACATGTCTATCAAGTGTCTAAAAATAAGTACACTCAATATTTAAATGATAAAAATTGCTATACCTTGGTTAACTGCAGTAAAACAAAATTCCGTTAGTAACTAAATCAATTTGGATTTGAAACTATTTGAAAAATAAATATCTCAGTAGTGGTGAATCACAACAATACACTGATTTTGGTTACAATCTCTCATACCGTTTAATATGTGAGTAGTTCTAGCCACTTTTGTCAGCAGTCATCAGCAGTCAGGCATATTCAATGGGGACTATCTTTAAAAAATAGGATATCCACATTTTAATCTCTTAAACGCATCAGTGACGCCATGTTTATTTCTTCTATATTCAGATACATATTTATAGTTATGTGTGTTATATATGCAAAACTATGAATATGTTGTCTGAAATGTCCATCAACTATGTTTTATTTTAAATCGCGTGACTCCAGGTGCCATCACACTTAACGTTATCAAATTTTACGCTCACTCAAAATTTTACACTATTTCATTACAAAGGCTTTATAAATGCGAATTCTAAATGCAATTTATAATTATAAAAAATAAACCCTTCCTTGGAAGCAGCAGCAGCATTTCGAAAACATACTTAAATGTAAGTCAGTAGAGGACTGTTAGATTTGCACAAATCTAACGAAGTTTTCATATTGATTTACTCGAATGTTTGTTTATTTGTTTATTCTCATAAATAATGTGGTGAATTCTGGGCTCTTGTAGTCAATAATTGTTATGGTTTCTCTATTTAGTTATCATCTTTGTTGGATCAAGTGCTAGCTTACGTTGAGGATGTTTTAGCCGAGAAGACCGAGCCGAACAACGCAGCTGGAAGGCAGCTGCTCGAGCTTCTCAATTCTGTGCCTAACTTATCTGCTGACACTTTTGCAGATGCATTTGCATCCAGTGTTAAGGACTTGCTTATGGTGGTGACCTTGGCTCAACTGATCAAGACACAACTGCAGCTCAACGAGAAGCTGACGCTGTTGACATCACAGTGAGAGCTGCTTCACATCGAGCGTTACGAACATTGGTGTCGTCAACAACATGCGGCGTCTTACACACATTGTATGTTAATACATATATATTTGTTTTATTTTTAAATTAGTACCTAATAAAATAGCCTAGTGCTTAAGGCGTTGGACTTGCGATCAAGAGATCGTGGGTTCAAATCCTGACCAGTACACTACCGACGTGAACCCATTCCTAACACAAGCAATTACCTTAGCGGGAGGGGTTAACGGGAATACTAATAATTTCGGTTGCTAGAAGACCTTTTAAAAAAAGAAAAGAAATTTATTAAGACTTTTTTGGCAATATTGCTAAGAGCTAAATTTTTTAACTTTTTGATAAAATTGTTCTTACTTAGACACACTGCAGTCCTAACTTTTAGGGATACCTATGTAATGAATACGCAATTGGACTAGTTATTGCTTTTTCACCTAGCAACGTTGCTGGCGCAAGCACATACGTGAGTATGATATTGTTTTGCACGTGTTTTTGTAATAGTGAGCGTGAGCTTAAAAATGTCGGCGCGCGTGATCCGCCCACATTGCACTTCCTACTTTTTGTCAATATATCTTTCAGGTGTCGAGTGTCATCATGAGAACACAAATGAACATCCATGAATCCGGCTTCTATTGCCTTCAACTAGCACTGCTTTTCTTCACAATATAGTCGGTACGCTGTTTGTAAACGTGATACTTCCCCAATCGTACAACCTCTTAGTATGTGATTGCGGTCCCTTTAGTCAAATGACTCCGACAAAGGATTGAAAAGAACGCTTCTCGATTTCGTACAAGAGATCGCTATTGGCTGCATAATTCTTTTGATGTATTGTCGGCATTTGAACTTGATGCCACTGCAAAATAGTATCTTTTTTAATTGAATGTTTTTCAGCTTCCGATTCGAATAATGCTTTTTGTATTTTAATTTCTCAGTTTTTGAAAAGATAATTTAACTTTGATAAATATATGCAGTTGATCAATTTTTTTGATTTTTTTTCTAAATCAAATTGAGTAGTATGAAAACTACTATTCTAAGTGTTCCATAACTTCTCTTTCTCTTTGTGCCGTGGTCCTTATTGCTGAGGGCCGTGGACTCTACAAATATTACCTTTCGGGCGATCGCTCTCTACTTGTTACGGTTTTGGACAGTCCAGTACAGTATCCAATCAGAACAAAATTTATTCAGTTCAAATTTTTTATTAATTTGATGAAATTGTAGGCGAAAAGATATATAATAAAACTTACTTAAGATTTATGGGTAAATGAGTAACTATTATAGTTTTTTTTTTAAACTATTATTGTAATTTACACATAAATCTAAAATAAATTTTATTATAAATCCTTCGCCGAGTAAGTAAAGTTAATGGAGCCCAAACTCCGCCTCCCCTTTTAGGGGGAGGAACTCAAAGGGCGGCAATGCACCCATGACTTGCAGGTGTCCATGGACGGTTATAGTTGCCAACCATCAGGTGACCCGTCTACTCGTTTGCCCCCTTAAACTATAAAAAATGCATATTAAATGTACTTCTACATCCATACTTACATAATAAATGTAAAAGTGAGTTTGTTTGTTTGTTTGTTACGCTTTCACGCCTAAACCACTAAACTGATTAAAACAATTATTTCACCTTCAGCTTTCTTTACGGCAATAACCAACATACACGCGGGTGGAGCTAGTATTCTATATCTTTGTCAAGTTCAAAATTTAAGGTGTGAAAGAAGCATATTTTTTGAAACTGTCAAAGATCTAGAAGTGCACTAGCACATCACCTTGTTAGAATATATCTTGATAGTATATAGACTTAAATATATAAAGTAGAAGCCAAATATATTTATAATAATAAAATATATAATGATAATAGGGAATATTTTTTTAATTCTTTAATTAAATGCAACAGGTTGCTGACATATTGTATGATTTTTTAATTGGTCCTCTCAATAAAATACAGCTTTAAAATGTTTTTTCCGAAATAGAAATCAGTTTTTCCTAAAACATTTCTTGAATATACATTGTTGTAGTATTTGGATTTCCGGATACGCTCCTTTCCGGAAATACAAAAATAACAATGAATCACAGAAATTATTTACAACAAAAATTCTTGTTATAGATTTATTAGTGTGTATATATCAAATAACCACGATATATTTATGGATAACTCAAGAAGTAAACTCAGAAGTAAAAACGGCTAACTTAATTATCTCCATTTTCAAGACCCACTAAGTGTAGTACTTATCATGGCCAAATAATAAGATTAAATTTAGATAAAATCAAATGGTTATAATTTATTAAATTGAACAAGCTTTAATTGGTTTTTTTTTTTAATCATACTTCTCCTGTTTACCCTTCGGTCAAATTATGACGTTTAAGAGGTTTGTGTATCTGTCATGACATCTGGTGATTAAATTCAAATTTATTTTTGATTACATAATACGAGCGCCGACGTCCAGATAAAATGATATTGTTTATTATCTTAAATAGTTAACTATACACATTTGTAAATTGTTACATTTTCTCATGAACCTGATGTTTGCTAGTATTGAAGCAACTTTTAAAGAAAGAAACCATTACCTACAATTATATCAAAAAAATAATATTTGGGACTCTTTCTATCTACGTACTTCAGACAATCTCGCCATGTGTATACGTTGTTCTTGTCATTATGAATCGTTTTGCCTGACTTCCAGCCCGTGGAGCAGGCTGAGTTTCGAAAAGGCTTCAGTACCGTGGACCACATACACCCATTAAGGCAAATAATTGAGTAGAAAGAAGAATACAATCAACCTCTCTGCCAAGCGTATGCCGACTACGGGAAGGCCTTCGATACAGTCGTGACCTGGGCTGTCCTGAAATCTATACAAAAAAAATCTCTAGTCGACAAAATTCGAAATGAAATCATTTGACAGAGAACTGGAGTAATCAAACACAACATCCGACATCGCACAGAGAATCAATACGCTGAAGTGGAAGTTGGTTATATCTCCAAGCGGACTGATGGTCGCTGGAGCCGACATGTGCTAGAGTGGAGTCCGCGATTGGGCAAGCGTAGTGTAGGGCGCCTAGCGGCACGATGGACCGACGACTTGAGGAACATGGCAGTGGATGAGTGCGGAGTGCCCAAGACCGTGATTGGGGCGCTCTTTGGGGAAGGCCTTCGTTCGGCAGTCCACTGCAATAGGCTAATAGTTTGTATGAATATATGGATGTTTTTACTCTTTTAAAAACGGACTCTGGATGAAATTGGGCACAGAGATAGATTATAGTGTGGAATAGGCGTCGTTTTATCCCGTGGGATGTACAACAACAACTGCGGGTAGCACCTCGGCGCAGCTATTAGAATATAAAAATGTAAATAAGAGAACAATAATAATATATTCCACCACACTAACATAACGCCTTCTAGTCCCAAATTAAGCAAAACTTGTACTATGGGTACAACTGATATAAATATGTATATATATATATACTTTTTTAAATATATAGCATAGCATATTCTTCTAGCATGAAGACATTAGAAAAACTGGCTGTATTACCGCTGTTTCTCTACTGGAAATCAATACAGTATAAATGATTTTACAAGTATTTACAAAGTGATAGACAATGTGCAAATGGACGCCGGTCACCTTTGGGATACACAATTTCACGCGCGCTAGGCTAATGTTTGTCGAGTAATTTGCCGCTGGTATCACGATTGACAGTCGTTTCATTCTTTGCAGGCAACCCGTCCCAAGATCTTAAAGATGTGTGCCCAATCTAAACGATGTATAAATGATGTATATGTTTGTTGCTATACCTTTTTTATTATATAATGAACTCTTGACTTCTAGAAACATTGAGTTAGTTATGAATATTTTGTCTTACTTTTTAATACTTTTTCATTCTAAACTCCATGACACGCTAATGCGTGGAAGAACCATGCTCCACCACACATGGGCCGGCTCGATCGGAGTGATACCACGGCCTCACAGAAAACCGGTGTTAAGCAATTATTTTATTGCTTTTCACCGAGTGAGTTCCCGGAGGCCTAACTCCCTAATTATTGTGTACGTAACATGAATACACGTACATGTTTGGATGTACATATCATTGACTATTTATACATAAATTAATCGCAAGACATACCTAATATTATGTAGTTGTTGAATAATTCGTGAAAAGAAGGTGTTAATCTTTAAAGTGTATCAAGCATTTTGTGTGTTTACTGAGTAAAATAGTACAAACCTTAGTGGTTTTTTTTGCGTTACGCATAACATAATTATGATTTAGTTACTTATAAAAAAAGTATAATTAAGATAATATCAGTAACAGAAAAACAGCCCCTAACAACTAAGTGTTGACTTATTTCATATCTAATGTTAATAATTTATCAAACGGTATTAACCTTCCTAGCAGACAGTAAAATATTTAACAATAGCCACATCCTATGTTTACAACGGTGTCCTCTTTTTGGGTGCGGCGTTTAAAATTTTACTAGTTCGTATTTCATTAGTATTGGGGGCGTTATCAGATGATCTGTTCCCCTGAACCCTTTAATGTATGCTGCACCGTTTTTAGTTATACGAAATTTATTTTTAACGAACAGTGAGAGTAGTCAAGTTGAACACAATAAAGTGCGGCTAACTAAAGCGAAGTTCGTATTTCCAGAGCGCTGAAGCAATAAAGTAAGCAGTTTTACAAGTAACTGCTTTCAGAATGAATGCGCGAGTTAACATACGGTCAATATTCTTAATCTATAAGTGAAAATCGTACAAAAATATATGCCTAAAATGCCTAATAAGTATATAATGCCTAATAAATATTTTAAAATATAATTTCTACTAATCTTTATAATACTTCATTGATTAAAAGTACGAGTACTGTACATATCATAATTTGTGAGGACTTATTGTCAAAAGTTCTCATCGTCATTAGCTCAGTTGATTCTCACTTAACACAGCAACACGAAGAATGTTTGTTCGGCAACAAAGCGTCAACATTAAGTTGTCGCATAGCACAG